AAGCATTCTACTTGAGATCCTTGCGCACCTTTCAATTTTTTTCGCGTGGACGCGTGTGTGGATGAGCGGTGCAATCTCTTTTGGCTTACACCCATTAACCCAAGGCGAGTCTCAAAAATGGGTATTTGCACAGTCTGTGTATTGATATACCAGATCGACTAATGCTCTGAGGTTGATGTGATGTATTCTCAAACTCTATATCATGTCTCCATAAGCTGATGACCATCACACGAGCAAGCAAACCAATCCCACCTAGTAGGAGTTTTGGCACTAGAGGAAGGCGATGAGTCCGCAAGAAATGATGTCTCGACGAGGAGTACGCCCGGTCTGTCTTGATTTGCTTCATCCATGATTCCCACAGTGTCAGGGGTTCAAATCCCCCCTCGCACACAGCTTCCAAAGGATAACAAAAATATATATCAAAGTTCAGTAATCATCAAACATTGTTGAATTCAAATTCCACTCCTTTCTCATACTACTAGTGAAATAGAAAAATGTAAAGACTACCATTAAAGTAGCCCAAGCAAGACTTATTATATTTGAGTAACAAAGCTGATAATATCCTTGAATTCAGGGGTGAGCTATGGGAGGTATATCTCCATGTGTATCGAAGAAGCGTCTATCATTATACGATGTTTAGCAACGCAATTTCGGCAGTTGTACTTCTAGCACTACTAACACCAAATAGTACCCCCAACCACCGACGGGTACACAACTTTCTCGGCTCATTCAAAAGGAAGGATACATGATTTTTTTACTAGAATTTGCGCTCGCCCTAAAATAAAGTTTCAATCTGGTTTTCCCGCAACTAAAGGAAAAGAGAATGGGAAATTCTTCCTTTTAAGGGTAGGTTCATGTGAGTATGGTACTATAGACCTCAATGCAAAAGTGGAGATGTCAATCCACATAAGAATATGGTCATATAATTAGGACTGGTGACATCCCATTCGCCCCCATTTCCTCCGCTCACCCCTCGTGATTTGTGCCTTCATCTTCTCGACGATTGATTTGGTATGTTTGTTTTTCAAGAGTGCCAACACCATTGAGCCAATGCAGAAGATGCTTCGGATGCTCCTCGACTACAAGGTTCGCCTCCTCATCTCATGTTGTTTCCATTTGCCATCCAGTGTGCACATTGCAATTTTGTAGCAATCCTTATTGTGTACAATCAAAGTCGTACCTAGTAATGCATGTATGTGCTCCAGTGTCTCCTCCCCCTGGCGATCCTAGCAAACTTGGCGCTTCCATTATACATGCCGGATTTGGAGCTTAACCGATGCATGTCAAGTTTACAGGACAAATTTGTTTATGTTTACCATGCATATCGCAGATTTCCTATGCAGTTTTGCCATGCTATCTAAAAAACATGACAAAATTCTGAAATTGTTAGTACTAGTCCATGGAGAAATTGAGAGAAAATTTTCTAAAAAATGACATTTCTTGTAACGTGACAAGGCATTTTTTTAAAATATAATATGGTAAAATTCAAATTATTTTTGTTTACTCAAACATTACATTTTTACAGAAAATTTTATTGGCCACATGGCATTTTGAAAAGTTACATGGCAAAATTCAGAAAATTTTGTTTACTCAAACATGGCATATTTAGAGTTTTTTAATAAATTATTGTGTACTGCTCACATTGCAAATTCAGATTCTTTTTTTCTTCTTCTTTTGTCGCTGCAAATGGCAGCAATTTTTAATTTTTTTGCAATGTCATATGGTAAGTTTATGATTTTTTTTCTAAATCATCACTATCGTTTGTGGAAATATACAATGCTCACATAAATTATTGTAATATCACATCGAAAAATTTAAGATTTTTTTTCTAAGCCATGTCAATTTTTACAAACGTTTCAACTTTTTGTCACATGAAAAATTTAGAGAATTATTGTTTTCTAAATTATGGCAACTGTACAACTTTTAAAAATGTCCACATAGTAAGTTTAGTACTTTTGCTCCACAAACCATGACAACCTTTTGTGGAGATATGTAATGGTCGCATGAAATATTTTTTGAGAACAACATTGTAATGTCACATGGCAAATTTAGGAATGTCTTATTTTCTAAATCATGGAAAATTTAAGATTTTTTTTAACTTCGTCACATTGAAAATGTATTGTATTTACCATGGCAATTGTATTTTATATATCTTGGCATTTGGATTTTTCACATATGATGGAAAATGTGTTTTAAGTACCACACCTTTTGTATTGACACCTATATTTTTGCCATGGACACTCTTTGCCATGGCAAATTTGGTTTGTGATCTGTGTTCACTTTTTTATAAAGTTTTTGCCATGGACCATGGCAATTTTGTTGAACAGAACATGTATACGTCAGATTTTTTTTGTTTTGCATCGAAGGAAAATGCAGGTAAATTTGTGTTTGCCACGTGGCAAATTTTAGAAAAAATGATCTAGTGACATAGCATTTTCCGAAAAAATTGCAATGTCACTAGTACATTTTTTTGCCATCTCTAATTATAGAAAGTTCTACATTTTGCCTAGATATAGACATCTAAAACTTCTGAATTTTCCATGTCACTCATTCATACCTTTTATTTTCTTTTCTTTGCCATGAATTAGAGAACATCTTTTTTATTTTTTGCCATCATTTTGTATAGGTTTTTATTTAGTTTCTTGCCATGGATCATGAATTTTTTTATGTGCTTGTATTTTCCATGGAGCATGGTAAACTCCCTGATGTGTTTTCATATGACTTATTGGTACTACTAGATGCGAACATTTTGTATACCAAAATGGCAAACTATATACATTTTCTGATGACAACTCAACATGCCTATTTACCATGCCAATTTTTACACATATTCTATGGCAATTTTTGTAGTAAAATCTCTTCGTTATACTCGTAGGTCCATTTTGTGATTTTTATTACTATCATGACAATTAAAGAATTTCAGTATGTGTTTCTATAGACAATTGGAAAATTCATGCTATATAACCCAGCAAAACTATTTTTTTTGTTTGATGGCAAGTGTTTCTGTTTTATTTTTCATTTTTTGTGATTCTGGTTTTTGGACTGCTCATGTTTCTTGCTTGCCATTTTATTATAAAATGTGGAAATTTTTATTTGACACATATTTTAAGGTTTGAATTATTGTGGTGTCAGAATACGTGTCAAATAAAATATGGAGTAGAAGAGAAAGGAGAAACAAGTGCTCTGAAAATGGGTGAACTGCTGAAGGAGAAGGTAAAAAAAAAATCGATGCTCAAGAAAATAGGTGGGTATTCAAATGGCAAGTTGGTGAGACGAGTGCCTTTGAAAATACGACGGTTGCGCTCCTTCTAGATAGTGTAGAGGAAGCGGACCTGACTTTTGGCCGGGCCCAAGTGGCGGTCGGTATTGGTTGATTTGTACTATTTTAGTTGGTCACTTGGCGGGTTTTTTTTTTGACTTAGCAAAACATGCACTTTCTTTAGGCCTTCGACGCTATGTGTGGCTAGGTAATCCCCATAATCCAAGATGTATTCCACGAACTGTGGTCTTTGATCGTTAATAAAGCTTGGATTATCCCTCAAAAAAAAACTTGGTGGTTTTTGCCACGTTTTCCAAAAAAAAACATGAAACCTTTGTACATAAACCCTCTTGTTGGTTACTGTCGGTTGCTTGAGAAAAGAAAATAGGAGCTCAAAAAATGTTAGACTGCTGGACATGTTCTAACCAAATACGCAGGCCCAGATCACGTGAGACATGTGGAAAACGCAGGCCCAATTCACTGGGGGGAAAACATTTTATTTCGTACTACAAGGCAGAGGACGCCGCGGAAAAATATTTCCCCGTTTCCCTCGCCGAGAAATCCCTTCCTCGAGCACGCGCGAGCAAATCCGTTGCAAGCATCACCGCAGGTGACTAAAAGAAAACTATTCGAGTTCTTGGTCTCAGATCTTTGCCGCATTCGAATCTGTTCCACCAGTAGGGGCGGCGATCTGTTTCGAATCTGTTCTTGATGTAAGTACGAATTAATTGCTGTTTATAGATTTCCGTGGTTAGTATCATGTGCGGACGTTTCGTCGGGATCTAATCTGACACTAGAGACTGGGGATTGAACTGCGGCTCCTAGGTTGCTTTCTGAGTTCGTACGCCGGACTAACATAAGAGGCGATGTCATGTCGGGCCGTTAGACCTACACATGCTTCAAGCCGACTAGCCGAGTTACAAGATTGATGTAATTCAGGATTTGTTTTCACATTATTGGCTTCCTGACGAGGCTCTGCATTTGATATCTGGGGTATTTATTTCGTTTGAGTAAACAGCAGTTGCAAACTTTAGAGAGGGACGCATGTGAGGTTCAGGTTGATCCTTCTAATGCCTAGGCTTCCTACTCGGTGCTTATCGTGTGCTCGGCATTTCTTGTGAACATTTGGTTAGTGGTATTTATCTGTAAAGCTGTGCTGAAAAAATTTAAATTAAGCTATCTGTAGATCTATGCTTATGGATGCCATAATTTGTTCAAATATTTAGGTATTCAAGGGAAACTTTTTTTTTTGAGAAAAAGGCCCTGTGTCTCAATGCATTTATAGAAGAAGTTTGTGTGAAACTAGACTAGCTACTTGCGATTGGTCATTGCATCATCACTAGACACTGCGACTGGGCTAACCTACGGGCTGATGAACGATGATAAGATATCATGATATTTCTCCCTCTCTTTCGAATTAGCTTTACAGTACATGTTCTGTTCAACATCGTCACATTCTGTTGTAAGTTGGCATATGGCTGCTAGTCATATCTGGGTCGTGGTGATCCATCTACTGTACTTTTTCTACAATGTTTGTGTCATATATAAAATCATGGATGGACATTATGAAATCAGTTTCATAGGGTTTTTCTTTGTATATAAGAGCAATGGTGGGCTATAATGTCAGGATTCTAAGGGATGCAGTTAAAGTGGTATGTAGTTTGTAGATGACATGACCATTCACAATTCATATCTTGTTGTCTGACTATTGGTTTGAACAATCTTTGTTTATTCAGCCGTGATGGCAGCAATGAACATTGATCTGGGAGGATTGGCAGGCAGGCCTACTACTTCACAGGCGGATCCTTTTCAAAGTGCTTTGTATGGAGCTGGACCTGGACTCATCCGAAGTGGACTAGGAGTGTACAGTGAGAAGTTTTTAGGTTCAAGCTCCGACTTTATGCAAAGCAATGTAAGCATGGATGCATTTCATTCATAGATATACCTGTTGTTTGATTTTCGAAAAACTATTCAATGTAAGTTTTGCTTGATTGCGTATACAGATCACCCAATATTTGTCCAATCCACAATATTACTTTCAAGTGAACAACCAGTATGTGAGGAACAAGCTGAAGGTTGTCTTGTTTCCTTTTCTGCATCGGGTAAGGACTGGCCGCCTCCTTTTTCTCAAGAACCTCTTTCGTGTCGGACCTGCAGATTGTGAGGTCTCACTCAATCCTTATATCGTTTCTCTTCCTTCAGGGACACTGGACTAGGATAACTGAGCCAGTGGGAGGAAGGCTGTCATACAAACCTCCAGTTCAAGACATCAATGCTCCAGATCTGTACATCCCTCTGATGGCTTTTGCCACCTACATTGTTGTTGCTGGATATGCCTTGGGTGTTCTTGGAAGGTAACTGCACACCCAGGACAACTTTTGATTGTTGTACTTGTAGGACTCTAGAAGAAATGTGCAGTATGACTCTATGAGCAGTGTAATATATGTATCACTTGGTTGTATATATGTGTCACTTCATTATAGTGAGTGCTGTAGGGCAAGTGGTTCTGTTTGTTTCTTAAGTTTAGTTCCCCCAGCTACAAGTATTGTGGTACAGAGGGAGTAAAATGCAGATACTAGCGAAAGGTTGAAGGGTAGAGATTAACTTTTGTGATGCACTATTTTATTTCTCTAGAGGAAAACAGTGCTCCTTAATGTTCAGGATATCCTTAATGCTTCAGTGGTGCTTGTCTGATTATTAACATTGTTCCTGAATGCAGGTTTACCCCGGAGGCACTGACTATACAGTTCACAAAAGGGTTACTCGGTTGGTTTATGCAAGTCATCCTCATTAAAGCACTACTTTACTCACTGGGAAGTGGTGAATCGCCGTTGCTTGACATTGTGGCATATGCCGGCTATGGGTTTGCCGGTACCTCACTTGCGATGCTTGTCCGCATCTTCTGGAGCTACTCATACTATTTTGTGCTGCCATGGTTCTGTATCTGCACTGGAGTGTTCCTGGTTAAGACGATGAAGAGGGTTCTGCAGGGTGCATCGAGGACTTATGAGAGACATCCTAGCAGGAACCACTACCTTCTCCTATTCCTCGCGGCCGCGCAATTCCCCATGCTTTTTTGGCTAGGCAACATCAAGGTCTGATGTTTCAGTCTTGTCTCGGAACAGGGATACCTTTTTTCCTTTTCTTTTCTTCAAGGCGGAGGCTAAAACTCGATCAGAATAAAGTTTGAGGTTTTGTCTTACTGATGAACTTTTGTAGTAGCCTTGTCTATAGTTCAGGCTCTTATTGGAGTGGTAAATTTCTTGATAGAGGACCTAAAAAATATGCAGTCAATGTTATCTTATTGGTCTGCAAAGGATGTTACTTTCTCATGATTTATGACTAGCTGAAGACAAATGCATACATGAATTTTGAATATTGGATAGTAACTTATCCTAAAAGTACATCTTCAATTGTCCATATTTGTGCCGTCTGCTAATATATTTGCAGCTGTTATCTTGTAGGCTAACTGGCTAAGGCCTGCGTAACCTGAATCTATCTTGGGTAACTAAATTTACTAATTGAATCAAATTGATCATTGTTCCCTAACATGTGGTTTGGCATCAATCTTGATCAAGTTATTTGCCACGTCACGGTGCTTTCAAGTGACTTGGTACTGCCAATGTGACAAAGGCATACCAAGGAAGCACACCGACAGTGAAATTTGCATACAAACGCCTTTATTTATTCACCCTTCACATTTTTCTTTCTTGTTATTATTCACCTCCAAGGTTATTATTCATTCACCTTACCGTTGTTCTGTAGTATCTGTTCGACAAATGAGAGATAAGCATTTCTTTGCCTCTGATTTATGAACTTGTGTTAGTTGATCTTTGGCCCAATATCTATGAAACATCCAGATAGGTTTCCCTGAATTATGACTCATTGCTCTTATGAGAAATGCCCAACAAAGTTCAGTTTTAGTTCACTAATACTTTCCCCTCTGGCAGGTAGAACTGAATGAATTGCTGACATAATTTTCAGCCAAATCTTGCTGCTGCTGCTCTTGCCATGTGGTATGTTCTCCTAAACCATTATACACACTTAATTTGAACCCAGGAAGGATATCCTGTGACTTCAAAAAGGTAAAAATAAATAAATCATGATGAATTAGTGCTCAAACCAAAGGATTATTGCATAAGTGGAGCACAATGGATGAATACTTACTCGAAGACATGTAATAGCTACAAGGCATGATTGAAGTCTAGCTACACCATCTAGAGGTACACAATGGCTCAACAATTAGCATTGGTGAAAAGTAAAAAAAAATCATTTCGAAGATGCAGCCTATCAGAATATCACTCTATCTCAAGATTAGCACCACCTGGCAACAGAGTGCTCCCGTCGACCGAAGAGGTCAACGGTGATGAACAGTTGGAGCTTTTAGGAGCAGGTAGAGTGTCGACCTCAACCACGCCCTCCAGCATCTGCACCACCTGGTGCATTGTCGGACGGAGCGAAGGATTCTGCTCAATGCACCAGAGTGCAACACGCATGAACCTCTCCACTCTGACCAAATCCTCAATGGTGTCGTCATCATTATGCAACAAAACCTTAATCTTGCCATGACAGACCAACTGACCAGCACACCAAAACAGTGTGACTGAATCGTCACCATCCAGCCCGGTCACCGGCTCCTGGCACTTCCGGCAGCATATCATCTCTAGTAGCACAACGCCGAAGCTGTAAACATCAACCTTGGTGTCAATGCGCCTATCACTTTGGAACCACTCGGGGGCAATATAGCCCCTTGTGCCCCTGATGTTAGTCACCGTGGTGTGCATCTGCTGGTCACTAAGAAGCTTTGCAATCCCAAAATCAGTAATCTTCGGATTTTTCTTGTCATCTAACAATATATTGTCAGGCTTGATGTCACAATGAATGATTGGATAATTGCATTCTTCGTGTAAGTACTCTAGGCCCTTGGCAATACCGAGTGCTGCCTTGGCACGCCAACTCCACATTGGTCGCTTAGGCTGGAAAAGGAAGCTCCGAAGGGAACCACCTGGCATGAACTCGAACACCAACATCCGTTGCTCCTGCTCTTTGCAGTAACCAACCATGCGGACTAGGTTCCTGTGGTGGATCTGGCCGATGGACTGTACCTCATTCGCGAACTCCCTCTCGCTGTAACCATTGGAGCTGATGAGCTTCTTCACTGCTATGTCAGGAGAGTGTAGCGACTTTAACACCCCATGGTAGACCTCGCCAAAGCCACCTCTGCCTAACAACTTACAAAAGCCATTGGTGGCTCTGTAAAGCTCTTTTGCAGTGTAAGCCCTCACAAAGTCATGGTTGGCGTTCTGCTTCCTAAGGTACCAATGTAACATGAGACTACTTATTGCGAATAGCAACACGAACCCCGAGCAACCGAGTAATACATAAGGCAATATCCTTCTCGGTGGCACCAGCTCGAAGGGATTACTCGTCCGTACCTTTATCAATGCCTTCATGGCGACGTCTCCTCCTTGCCGTCCAAATCCTGCCAATGACACCATCTTGGCACAATAACTGTCATCATACATAGCAGCGGCGCAGAGGCAGTCCTTTAGGCAAGAGTCTGCACACTGGTCCTCTGTGGTGTGCGAATATCCTTCATATGGCGAGTTTCCCCAAGTGGTGTTCGGGAGCTTGACAACCCCAAACTCGGCGGAGCGGTTCTTCCCGTCACAACTCTGCGACATGAACCCCTGTGTGCAGCCCATGTACCTGAGCTGAGAATCGACATAGGAGTAGCCGCTTGGGCACTCACAATCGAGCCGGTCGTTAGGACCATACACACAGTATGAGTTGGGGCCACACAAACCTTGCATAGAGGTATTTATCTTGCAACCTTCGGTTGGGAACTGTCCCGTGACTGCCCACGACAAGTTTCTCCTTCCCATGGCGTTCTTCGGCCGGGTGTACATGCGGAAGATGCCATCTGGATCGAGTGATGCGTGCTGGTGGTAAGCAAACCTAGACTTTGGATGCGGGGGTATCAGGTCAACCACAGTGCTGTCATTGCTCTGATAGTACAGATGGCCCGATGAGTCAAAAAAAATAGTCATGTTGCCGACCTGGTTGTCCGGCTGGTAGGTGTTAGTGCTCCAATATGCGTTGTGCGAATCCAGGTTGCCGGTGGCAAGGTTTGTGAGGTACAAGACGATGTTACCATCGCCTTGCACCTGCAGGCTGTAGCGGCCGGGGAAGAAGACCGTGTCGGAGTGCCTGGACAGAAGAGCCTTTCCAGAGCCCAACGATTGACCTGGGAGGAGTGTCTTAGTTGGGTGCTGGAAGCTCTCCCAGGTGATGGGCATTCCCCCGGTGGCGAGTAACTGGAGGTTGCCTGAGTCTTGCAGCGCGAGAATTGAGCCGGCTTGTAGGCTAGGGTATGGGTTCGTCCATATTATGCTACCGGTGTTGTCAGTGAGGGAGAGCTGGGGACCGATGCTGAACACGGACAACTCCGTGGCCATTACGGCCGAGCCTGAACCCAGGTTCTTGGCATACCACACCACCTTCTCCTGTGCAGGGTCGGGTGCCTGGGTGAAGTTGAAGTTGAACCAGACAGCAAGGAGGAACTGGCTGGGGTCAGAGTCGAGGGCCCGGAAGCCGAAGGCAAATTCCCCTGACGGGGAGGTGATGTAGCCAGGGGGGCTGAGTGTCAATCCGGTTGTGAGCCTCTGCGCTGCAAGCAGATGAGGCTGGTGGAGCAAGAGCGCAAGGAACGAAGCAAGGTGGAGAACAAAAGATAGTGGCTTCATTTGTGATTAGCTTCTTGCTGATCCTGGCTTTATTTCTGATTAGCTTCTTGCTGATCCTGGCTTTATTTGTGATTAGCTTCTTGCTGATCCTGGCTTTATTTCTGATTAGCTTCTTGCATGATCAGCGTGCCATTGTGGTGTATATAAACATGATACGATCCAGGCATCCAGCAAGTCTTTGGGTGCCTCGTCACCTAATGTGGCTTTTAGACTTAGTGCTGGTCTACGCTGAACGGAAACAAATTCTCATGCCCTAGACTTAGTGGCACGGCATGCTTTCCTTGGGTGGTTGGCGAATGTCAAATTGTCAAAAGGCCAGGAGGAATTCCGCTGGACCTTCCGTCAAAATGGTAAGTTCTCAGTCATCTCAGTGTATCTGACAGCTGCCGTAAAGTTTAAGGTACCGATTAGCTTAATATAAGCCATTGTTCGACCGCACAATTTGCTGACTGAAAGGAAGCTGAACATTTCAAATTTGCTCACTGACAGGAAGCTGAACATTTCCTCTCACGTTTTAGTTTGCTCAGTACGCACGCTTGCAGATGGATGACTTTATTGACTGTAGAAGGTAATATCAGGTATCAACAACTCATTTCCTATGTTAAATTTACCTCACTCTCGTTACAGATTTGGATGTGTTCTCTGTGTGTACGGAGTAGTGTTTTCTAACGTCTGATGTAAAGAAAGTGTATCAACTGATCGTGGACGGACTAAGCAAGTTTTGTCAGGTTTGGCAGAAGTGCTTTGGTCTTCTCGCCATTCCAAACATGGCACCACTGATCATGGACACACTTGAGAATTGGTGGTGGACAAGGAGCGGACCGGTCTCAGTTAAGGAAAAATAGTTACTCTTTCAATACGGTTCCTCCGACAGGGCGTTTTGGCTCCCGGGCTCATCTGAGCCCGGGAGTGAACAGTAAGTTCGCCAAAAATAGTAAAGTAATTCAAAAAAATCAATTTATTTTGTGGTGAAAGATGCTTGATTTCGTGATGTCCGCTCGAAAATTCAGCGCGTTTGAACATTTGACGAGCTTTGAGCAAAAAAGACAAATTTTGGGCCTGTGAAAAAGTTTATTGTTTTGCACTGTTCGGACCTGATTTTGTCTCTTTTGCTGAGAGCTCGTCAGATATCCGAATGAGCTGAAACTTGGCATGGACATCACGCACTTGAGCATCTTTCACCACAATTTTTTTTTGAATTTTTTAGATTTTTTCTATTTTTTTTAATTTACTGTTCACAGGGTGTAGATGAGTTCGGGAGCCGAATTGGATATTCGGGTTCCTCCTACCTTCTCTTCTCACATGCGAGGTACGAATGAAAGAGTTACTCAGATCCACTACTTAATAAAATCAACGGTTGAGATCTATTAGATACTCTTATTTTTCATGTGAAAAGGGGAGGTAAGAGGACCATGTTAAAAATGCTCGGTGAGGTTT